CAATATGCTGACTCTGTAAACCGCTTAGAAAGAGCTGAAAGCCCTATGAAGCGGTATATAAGTCTAACTGCTATTGCTAGACCTGTGATAGCGAACCTATGGCACACGTGCCATAGGTGGCACATGGAGCCATTTCTGAGGGAACACGAGGCGTTGCCCTGTCAGCTCCAGCATGCATGCGCGCACTGGCCAGCTGATTTTCAATCTTGATTTTTCGCCCTCCAGAGGCTTTAGGGAAGCTTCCTGAAGCTTCCAGAGGGAGAAAAACGGTCCAACGGGCAACTCAGAAGTCTGCTCCCAAATTTCCGGTTTGAGTGTTGGGCTGTTTTTCACCCTCTCCAGGCTCCTAGAAAGCCTCTGGAGCCTGGGGAGGGGAAAGAACAGACCTATTGGGCTCACAGGAAGTTGGAAAATGGGATATTTGTGGCCTCCGAAGGGCCTCGGGAGGGGCTGGGGAGGCCGTTTTTACCCTCCCCAGGCTCCAAGAAAGCCATGTGTGCATGAGCAGGGCAGCGGGGGAGGGGGGTCTCACACACACACATGGCTGGGGGCATGGCATGGGGAGCTTTAAATTATGGGGGTGGGCACACAAGCGCGTGTGCAAGCTTTGTGCACCCGATGCGAAAAAGGTTCGCCATCACTGACCTAGAACGTATTTTCTGCCTTCGTATCAGCAGAAAGTCTATAAAGGGTTGCCTAAAGTAGCAATAGTTAGTTTGGTCTATTAAGACACCAGGCTAAAAATCAGGAGTCTATGAGCTCCAGTCCTGCCTTAGGCATGAAAGGCATCTGTATGTCTTTGGGCTTCTCAGGACAACTCTCCTCACTAGATTGTTGTGGGGAAAATGAGGAGGAAGGTGTATTATGTGTATTTGTTGCTTTGAATTATTTATAAAAATAAGAGTTATAAAAATAACAAAGTTGAGATAAAAATAAGTAATTTGTTGTTCAAGACTGAATGCAAACTCACCCAGCATTTTCAAACTTATTGTTCTGAAAGTTTCTAATAGCGTTGAAGTTCAGATAGTCATCAGTTAATGCTGCTTTTTCAGTAAACATTCAAAGTTATGACAGTGCTGAACAAGTGGTGATTACAACTAGTTTAGGAAGTTTCAGCTAGCATACCCATGATCATGTGATCGCCTTTTGGGCACCAACTGGCTTGCCCGTACAATGGTTGCTGAACCCATAGTCACATAGCCTTCCCGGAGCACTGGGTACCGTTCCGGTATGGTGCTCTGGAGGGCTCACCCGCCCGTGCTCCTTACCTGTCCTTTAAAGCCTTCGGCGCTTACGCGCATGGCACATACAGCATTTGCACAACGCTCCGCCGAGCAGCTGGAGCATCGCGGAGGCTTGCGGAGGCATCACTGGAAGGTAAGACACATGCGCACACTGTGCATTCATGTGGAGGACGCCGGGCCCCATTGCAACCGTACCTGTTGCAATAGGATCTGGAACCCACCACTGATTTGCTGATTATAAATGTAACTTTCACTGGATTCTTCCCTTCATTTTTTCAAACTTTAATTTTATTCTTTCATTTCCTGGCGTATATGTCCATCAATGCCATTCCACAAGATAAGACTTCCTTCAATTGGATCTATTATTTCTCTTTACAGATATACAAGAATTCTGTTAATTTTATTTTATTTGTTAATCTTGTTTACCATTTATTTCTCTTACATCCCATTGGTCAATCAAGGCTTTCATGTTGTTTAATAATATAAGTAGTGTAACATTTTAAACACTAAACTCTAAAGTAAAGGCATGTCAGCAGTTAAAATACTTACAAGCTGCTTAAATATATTCAACTAAAAATCCAGATCAATTGAATCTGATTTGTAGGGCTGACACACACATGCACATACATAGAGAAACACATGCTTACTGTTAAAATTTTGTTCCTACAGGTACTGCAATGGCTGCTGTAGTCTTATTGCAAAATGAGTCACCTTATTGTTCTCTGATAACCAGCAGCACAACCATGAATACAGGTAATTACTTTTTTAGTAAATGAAATTTAGCGGATAGAACCAGTTGTGGATAATAATAGGGATGAGCTATTGAATTTATCTAAACTCTGAATGCAGATCTGAAGCAGATTGTTTCAAGTAGATTTTATAGTTCCATCAGTTGAAATAGGATTCAGGTAAAGAATCAAATAAAAGCCATAAACAGATTTTATGAATAATTTGTCACTACTAAACCGTGCCAAAATTGCTACAACCTTTCACCTTTGTTTTAGGATTCATGGGAGGAAGGTAATGGAATCAAGTGGTAAGTCTATAGTGGAAGTATTATTTCTAAGCATATAACAGCCTTATGCAATACAACTCCTGTTGTTGTTTTATCTTCATAATTCAGTTTTCTATGAAGGTATTGCAAATCATAATTCATATTTTTATTCTTCCTGAAGAAAAATATTCCCTACAAGATGAATAAACTGTTTCATCAAATGTAGTCTACCATTGTTCATGCCAAAGGAAGCCTGGTGCACTGGCTCTCTGCTTTGTCTTGCATGGATGAAATTGTTTATGTAGGAGAAGACATTGAGCTAGGTCTCATTAATTTGCCCTACACGAAACGGGCTAAACTGCCTCATGTGTTCCTCCATTGGGTAAAACAGGACAACTGAAGGACCACAGCTCTTGTAGCTGGTCCAAACGTGACAATGGAAATGGAGTTGTGAATGGCCATAATTTTAGAACTTTTTAACCCAATTTGAATGTTTTTGTTTGTAGTAATGCCATGTAGGGCAGGCTAGACCTACACAACTTAAGAAGTGAAAGGTCCAGATTGATAAATTAAAAATAATTATGGGGCACAAAGGAACAGATTGCATGCCAGTCAATCGTTTGGCAAATATCTCATGTATATATCTTTCACTTCTGCTGATATTATCTCTTAATTGCACTGTTTTCTGAGTATTAAAAAGTTATTATTTTAGTTGTATGTGAGAAGAAAAAAACCCCCAATGTGTTAACATCACAGGTTTCCCAATATATTTCTTAGCTATTTAGCTTGTTGGGTTTTTTTGCTTCATATATTTTTAAACTTGATATCAGGTTGTAAAATGAGCAACTGTGTCAGAAGGAATAGTAAATTAATTCTATGTATTAAAAGGTTAATACTGACAATAGAGGAGAACAAATATTCATTGTTACAAATTGTAATTCTGATTCATCTTTGGCAGAAGCTTTTAAGATCATTGAAGATTTTTACAAATAATATAATCTCTTTGTATTCACACAGATTTCCTATGACAGCTAAAAAATAAATTGGAGAACTAAGGATAATCTATGCTTATAGGGAGTGTTCTCTTGTCTCAGGCTTAGTTTTACAAAATAATCATCATTTTAAAATTCATTTAAACCAAATTTGTTTCTTTGCTAGTCCAAATATAGTAGTAATTTCAGATTTATTATTTATTTCATGCAATACATTCTTTCTTTGCGTAATCAAGAATGATAAATTGAACATTATGCAAAGAAAAAATGTATTGCATGAACATATTCTTTAGATATCCAGGAAGATAATATCTAAATGCAACTTGTCTCAAAAAGGTTAATAAATTATTCTGCTTGTTTAGGTTTATTGCTTCATATTCTTTGCAGAAAATGACCAGTAATTGCCATCTCATTAAAATTATTATCTAACTCCCACATGGTAATTTTGTGGAATGTTATTGTATGCATGAAAACAATACCTTTTATTTTTGGTTATGAATTAAATTAATAGGTTGAATGCCAGCTAAAAGTCATATTGTATTCATTACAAATACTAAATGAAACAAAATGACATGGGAGTGAAGATGTGAATTTCTAAGTGATATTAATAACAACGTCATATGGCACTATAAAAATTGCCAGATTAGCATGGTGGTGCCATAGACTCAAAAGGGTTACAAGATTTATGACTTAGCTGATGCTGTTTGGTCCTTAACTCAATATTTTTAATAATTTTGATTCATACTAACATGAACTAATAGGTTCTGTAGCTTTTGAAGTGAACTGCTTATTTATGGAGCATTAGCTGTGGTACAAATGTCTTCATTTTATACATTACAAACATTATGTTAATATCTGATCCAAGACATTTTGTTGTCTGATGTAAAAACTCCAAAAAATGTCTGTCATGTTGAAGTGGCAATCTTAATCCAGACTAGTCTATTTTTTTGAGGAATAAGAAATAATTAAGTTACAGTATGGTCTAATCCACTTATGTTGTTCTTTAAGCATTACTGCCTCTGATATTTATGTTTTCTGTACACCCTCAATAAATTGTGTTTTCATACAATTTGGAACCTCTTCATAGCAGAGTCCCTATAAATTAGGAGCAGACCATTCTGTGTCTGCCCCGAGTCTTCTATTTATAGTTTTCGATGAAAAGTCCTTTTAAGCTGCAGTCTACAATTAGAACAACTGTACAGTATATATTTATCTATTTTGCCACTGAATATTTTACATGACTGCTGAAACCCAAAAAGGGATTTTTTACATTTACTTTTTACTTTTAAAAAAATAAAATAAAGCCTGATTCTATTTATAATTTGAGAGATTGATTTGACTCCCAAAGGAGTAGGCTAATTTCCTTTGTCATATCTTTCAATAAATAAGGCTAGGAGGCAGTGCTATAGAATTTATTTTTCCTTTTTTCCTTTTGACTTCATTTTTGTCATTTACTTATATAGATGCTTTGTGAGTCCTATGTATCTTACACTGCAGGATTGGGGGAGGGGGAGGATGACAGGTAAAATCACTCACCCAGAAGATAGATAGTGGAGGTGAGAACTACCAAACTACGTCACTAAGTCAGGAGGGAGAAATAGAGCATGCAGAACCAAGAAGTCTTACAAAGGAAGCTTGGGGATTTTTACCCTATGAGTTCAACCCAATTTTGCCGTTACAATTGTGAATAATGCCATAATTCCTGTTCAACACAGGCATTTGTGAGCTAATATCTCAAAGATTCTGAACCTTTAAAATCCTTGTCTATAAAGATTAATCACAACTTTCCAGTCCTTAATACTTTGTACCTAAATGCATTAAATCTGCTTATTGAGTAGGCTCATTGCAATTGGTAGGTGGGGCAGTTGTAAAGATTGAATTTTGCAATATCCATTCTGATTCTTAATAGTTTGTTCCGCACTGATGTTCTGACAGGAGCACATTATTTGGGGTATTGTTTAACTTATAGATCAGGTTTTAGATAAAGAAAAAAATAAGCACTCAATTTCTAGTTGACAGCATGATTACATTTCTAGAAATAACTGATATAGTTTCACATTTTAAAACTTGGGTAGTATGTAATATTTGTCATTGAGGTATACTTAAAAGATCAGTTTCTTCAGAAGAGTGGCAGTAGTTTTTAAAGAATATAGGCAGAAATTGAAATGAAATCATAGGACTATTATTCCATGAAGTGTATAATTTTAAATAGCACATTTTAGTTGTAGGTCTTTTTGCATGGTGGTCTATGTAACCTAGAAACAATAGCTAGGAATTCTTTTTGGTATTAAGTGCTTCTGGATATTGACAGAACTACTTTGTTTACTTTGCTGCTCCATCAACCAGCAATAATTTATTCTATTACGTATTTCACAAGACAGCAAAATACTGCTTGTGTATTGCATTTTGTTACTGCTGATTAAATATATGTGAATGATTGACTGGATAGTCTTTCAAACCCTACTCCGTCTTTGTAAACCCTTAATGGTAGTGCTAAAAGCAAGAAGTATGATAATTGCTTTGCTTACAAAATAAGCTCATGACACAATTTGGGGAGGAGAAAAGTTTGTTCAGTTATAAATGTTTCTGCTTTCATTTTACAGTCATAACTAAGTTGCTTTTGTCTATATTTACATCTTTATTAACTTGAGATTACTTGAAGGATGCAAAGTTCTAAGAGGTCTTCTGAAGAATAGGCTGTACCTTGTGATGCTAAATTCAGTTCTTCAAATTCCAGGATTCATTTCTGTTCATAGAAAATATTTTCAGAATTCCTGGTCCAGTTCAGAATTACCTGCTTTGAGTGATTCTAATTCTCATCAGTAGTAGAACAATTTGTTCTGCAAAAAAAAGAAAAGAAAAAAAATGTATATAGAATTTAGTTGCCAAAAGGCGTAGCTGCCATCAGTGAGTTCATTGTTCGTTTCTATGGAGACAGCAGCCTATTCTGAATGGCTGTTAGATCTTACAGAAAGATGCATGACTCTGTATAAGTTCAGTACTGAGCAAGTGAGCTTTCTCATTCAGCTTCATCCTCTGGCATATCTTAAGTGCAGCAAATAGAGGGTAACCATGCAAGGATCACCCAGGAGGCGTTTGGCAGTGAATCTTTTTAGCAAGTTTTTTCAGGGCCGGAGACATTCTTCTTCTGATCCTCTCTTCCAAGTGCTTCAGAGGCGACGGAGCTCAGTTGTAGAGGTCCTCTCGACTTCTACACATAGGGTTATGGTGGCTATTTCCTCTGTAAGCCCTGAAGAGCTGAATGCTGCTTTCCATGAAAGAAGAAGTAAAGTATTGGCATTTTTATCATTCTAATCTTAATTCTGATCTTTTTTTATAACTAATCATTTTAAGTTGATCACATCACTTAATTAATAAAATACTACTGTATCACTTTTAATCTTACTGTTTGTTTATAATATGAACAAAGATAACAGCTGTTATTAAATGTTTCTAGCTCATGAGATGATCCTTCCTGTATTAAGGAAATACTACATAAACAGACATCAAGAAAGAAAAGTCTTATTTCTTTATAAATGTTATTTTTGGATTTAGTTTACCTTTTTATGTTTGTTTTTCAGAATTGATTTTTGTTGGAAACTTTTATTTTGTCTTGTCATTGGGTTACAGGAAGATCTAGACGTCCAACTGCAAAATATACAAAAGTTGGAGAACGCCTTCGTCATGTTATTCCTGGTCATATGCAGTGTTCTATGGCATGTGGTGGCCGTGCTTGCAAATATGAAAACCCAGCTCGGTGGAGTGAACAAGAACAGGCTGTTAAAGGATTATATTCCTCCTGGTAATATACAGTATTCATTCATGATACATTTTTAAAAATGTTAACTTTTAAATATCGTATGAAGCAGTTCGTAACTCTGTTGAACTAATTTGCAAAAAAATATGCTTAGTATTAAATTATACAGTCAGTGAAAGAAAACAGCTTGATAAAGATTTAGGCAAGAAGTGTTTCAGAAATGCTGGACAGTTTATATATAATGTCTGTGTGTCCATTAGCTTGAAACATTTATATGCTAAAACTGTTGGCTAGATTCAAACAAAGGTCAATTGTTTTCATCTAGGCATTAATCATACTGAATGCATTCTACTGATGTCAACAGAAACTAAATTCAACCTAATCCAATATGTTTTAAGATGAAACATGGATTTCATTATGGATATCTTTATTATAGACTTAAATGTAACTAAGATTCAAATGTATTGATCAGGTAATTGAACTGAAATGTCAAATTAAAAAACCCAACTGAATATAATGAAAGCATTGTCAAGATGTGTGGGATCATTTTATAAACTTTTTAAAAGATTACTGAAGAAAAAAATGTTTTATACATAGATAAAAAACTAGAGTGGTGTTAGCTCTGTTTTTATATCTTGTCATCTTATTAGCATTCTGTTATGTAAGTATTTATTAAACAAAGATCAAAAGCATTTCATGGTTTGAAAGCACAGCATATAAAATGTTATCATTAATTTGCTAAAACAATTAAACATGAGAAATACCTGAGACATATTTTTACTCCTATTTTTTATGTCTTCTTCCATCATCTCTTCAGGGTAACAGATAACATACTGGCTATGTCTCGACCCTCCACAGATCTTATTGGAAGATATAATATTATTGAACAGTTCCAAAGGTAAAAGAAATTGGTAACAAATTACTAAACTTCTTAGAGAATGAAGCTCATCTCCCCCCCTTCCCTGCATTGCTCAGATCATTTGTAGCATTTTATTCTGAAATAAGAATAATAACATGGGATGCGGGTGGAAAAGACTCTGAAAGGAATCATTGAAAGGACGCATTGTTCAATAATGCATCATCTTTTTCTTTGCCTAAGATGTGACATAAAAACAGTAATTAACCTTCAGCGTCCCGGGGAACATGCTAGCTGTGGGAATCCACTGGAACAAGAAAGTGGTTTCACCTATCTTCCTGAAGCCTTCATGGAGGCGGGAAGTAAGTTTGCTCCTGCTGCTGCTGTTCCTGGTTAATTATAAAGTGTGTTGCTTGCAGGCTGTTTCTGCCACCTACTTCTAAAGTTAAAAGCAGCGAGTTGAGGAATGTTTATTGATGAAAAAATAACATACAGTAACATACAACTAATGAAGATGTAGAAAAAGAGAGGGCGGCTATCACAAATGACTTGACATGGAATTGACAGCTAAATTATGAAAGTTGCACCTGGTAATATCTGTAACATTACTAGCAATTATTCACCAAAAAATTACACAGATTACACAGGACAATAGGCATATATTCACTGGCAGTAATTCCGTGTTTGTGTGTGTGTGTGTGTGTGTGTGTGAGAGAGAGAGAGAGAGAGAGAGAGAGAGAGAGAGAGATTGTGTTACAGATGCATACATATCTATCTACTTAATTAGCATCTCTTTCACAAAGAGTTTTCCACACTGTCCAAACAAATAGTTGTGTTTGATTATTTTGAAAAGGATGTAATTAATTGAAGAATACTGAGTGTGTATTTTTATATACTATCTAAATGCATGTACACCTACATAGAGAGAGACATTCCCCCTTCATTGTAGGTTTTATGTTTCTAAAGGAAAAATCCTGCTGAATTTAGACTGTAAGATTGGAAAAATTTAAATTTAAATGAACATTCCACAATGTGGGAAGATAATTCATTCTCTTCTACTGCAGATCTTAGGAATGTCATTAGGATATATCTGTGGGTGCACAGTTTTCTAATTATAATGTTCTAAATTTTTTTTCTAGTTTATTTTTATAACTTTGGATGGAAGGACTATGGTGTAGCATCTCTCACTACTATCCTCGATATGGTAAAAGTGATGACTTTTGCCTTACAGGAAGGGCGAGTAGCTATTCATTGTCATGCGGGACTTGGCAGAACAGGTACAAATATGCAACAACTAGTTTAATTAAAATGTATTTTTCTAAAATTCAGTATTGAACCTTATGCATTGTACGGGATGCATTGCAAAGTCTGCACAAATTGCAGATACTCCTCAACTTACAACCATGTATCCTCCTTCCCTGAAATAAGACCTCCCTGGATAATAAGCCCAATTGGGCTTTTGAGCGCGTGTGCTAAAATAAGCCCTCCCCCCAAAATAAACCCTCCCCGAAAATATTGCAACACAGCAGCAGACATGAGGTGACCACACTCGTCACCTCCTGCACCTCAAAAATAATAAGACCTCCCTGAAAATAAGGCCAAGCGCTTATTTCAAATGTCAAAAGAAAATAAGACCCTGTCTTATTTTCGGGGAAACACGGTATTTAGTGACTGTTCAAAGTTATGATGCCACTGAAAAAAGTGGCTTATGACCATTTTTCACATGACCGTTGCAGCAACCCCATGGTCCTGTGATCAAAATTCAGATGCTTGGCAGCTAGCATGTGTTTATGATGGTTACAGTGTCCTGGGGTCATATGGTCACCTTTGCTGAATTTCTGACAAGCACAGGGGGAACCAGATTCACTTAACAACCATGTTATAATTTAACAATTGCAAATATTCATTTAACAACCGTAGCAAGAAAGGTCATAAAATGTGGCAAAACTCCCCATTTAAGTAACTATCTTGCTTAGCAATGAAAATTTTGTGCTCAATCCTGGTTGTAGGTCAAGGGCTGCCTGTATTTGCTTGCTGGCATTTCTTGGATTATTTTCTTTGAAAGTGGCCCATGCCTCTAAACTGCTTTTTGAGTTCAAAGAAGAAATTGAGAATTAATCATGAGAGAATCTATAAACATTTAAGACAAATCCTAGTTTTCAACTGTATTTCCTGTGACATTATTTCAAAAGAAAACAGAACTTTGGAGTAGAGAATTTAGCTACTTTAAAAATATTATTCAAAGGAATAGGAATTATTTAATGCCCTTAAATAGAAATGCAAACTATGAATGCCTTCTCTCTCTCTCTCTCTCTGGATACCTACCATTTGGAAATACTTGTTTGGCTATTTTCTCACTTCCACTTCTGAAGCAGAGAAAACATTTGCAGGAAAGCTTAACATAGCCTTCTTTGACCTTATTTTCTCAGCAAATAAAATGTTACGCTTCAAAACTCTTTTCCCATCTGATTTTGTGTGCAATTTATTCATAAAATCAGCTGGTTTAATGTACAAGTTTCAATATATAATGTTTGTTTATATAATGTTCATGTTTAATTTTTTAAATACTTTAAGTAGTGTGTGTGTATAGAAGTATAAACACACACACATCTAGAGAGAGAGAAAGTATGTAATCTTAAGTCTTACAGTTGATGATAATTTATATACTGATAGATAACAGTTTGCTGTGATGTAAACAGCATCTAGGTTGTTTTCTGAGTTTATCATTGTTTTGTTTTTGACTTTACCTGAACTTGGAGAGTAATCTATTTTTATGTATCACTTTCTAGGTGTCTTAATAGCTTGTTACTTAGTTTTTGCAACAAGAATGACTGCAGACCAAGCAATCCTTTTTGTAAGAGCAAAAAGGCCTAATTCTATTCAGACTAGAGGACAGTTGTTGTGTGTAAGGGAGTTTTCACAGTTCTTAATTCCGCTCAGAAATGTTTTTGCCACCTGCGAGCCAAAAGCACATGCAGTGACTCTTTCCCAGTACTTGATCAGGCAGCGGCATTTGTTGCATGGATATGAAAGCAGACATCTCAAATATGTGCCAAAACTTATCCATCTTGTTTGCAAATTGCTCTTGGATTTGGTTGAAAACCGACAGGTGATAGAGGAAGAATTAATAGATATGCCAGACCTGACAGCTGAAATTGAGGAGACCGTTTCTCAGTTAGCTTCTACGGAGCTTGATAAGGAGTTAAGAAGACAAGACAGTAGTACTTCGGAGCCATTCTCTCTCTCAGGATCAAATCCTCTTCATCCCAGGGAACACGATTGTGATCCTCTTTGCAAATCGAGGACTGCTGATCACTTTTTGTCTCTTAGCCGTTCCAAAAGGCGCCTTAGCTATAGTGAAACAGATTTAAGAAAATTTGCATTTATCACTGAGCAAGGAGAAACACTATGGTCAGTGCCTGTACAAGCGCCACTCTGCAACAAATCTAACCCACCAAGCAAGGTGAACGACTGCCAGCCTCTTCATATTGAGCTAAACCAAGAAGTCTTAATTCGTAACACGTTTACTTTCTCAACTCAGGGAAAATTTAATCCAGGAAAAAATGAAGACGACTCTTCTGCCTGCCATAGATCTAGACATACAAAAAGAGTACTGCGTAGTAAAACCTTTTCTTCAGGCCTTTCATATCATCAGAAAGAAAAAGAGGAGGATGAGGAAGAAGAAGAAGAGGAGCTAAAAGCACTGAACTATAATTTTGTGAGAAAGGATATTTATGGTAGACGAATATCATCTGAAGATTCAGAAAGTGGGACTTATGATATCAAAGATCTTTCGGACGCAATCCCCCATATCATTGTGCAATCAGAATTAACTCAAGAGGCACGAAGAATTTTGGCAGCCAAAGCTCTGGCAAGTCTGAATGAATTTATGGAAGCAGAAGAAGTGAAGTCTAAAGTAGAAATGTGGCAGGTATTTCATTTTCTAATATTTTCAGTAATATTGTCAGAGATGTGTACATTAGATAAACATGGAAAGAATGTTCCTGGTTTGGAGTAGTTGAGATCTTCTATTTCCTAAGCTTCAGGGATGAGAAGTGAACAGCCAGCCATCTTGTGTGTGTGTGTGTGTGTTTTCCTTTCAAATAGGAACTAGGGAGTGCAGCCTAAAATTAAAACAGACACGAAGGAACCAAATATTCTGCACTCTCTCCTCCAACTTTTTAAATAAATGCAATGTAAATTAAAGGTAGAACTGAACTTTGTGATGCAGTTTTACCTTAAATGCCAGTGTAGGGACAATGTATGTATATGGGAAAGAGTTGGGAAAATGTTCTGCATTACCCTTCTTTGTCTCCTGATTGTCTTGTATAAAAGCCTGGAGAATAGAGAGATTAGGATATAGACTTGGCACTAGAGCATGAACAATTTTACGGGGACACTAACTGTGCATTCTTGAAAGACTCCCACTGGCACTTTTGCTGTCTAAAGAAAACAAAAAGAAACTCTTTTGCTTGGAGTGATTTACTTTCTGGTGAAGCAATTGCTATATGATACTAAGATATTTGCTCTATATTAAGAAAGGGTTAAGCATTGATTCTCTGACAGAAAACAAAAACTCCCTCTTTCTATAGTCTCATTTTCTTGGCACACAGATTGGGAATATATAAGCCACACTTCAGGTGTTGGTTTATGATCTTAATCACCTGAAGGAAGGCAAGAGACTGTCTGAAGCAAGAAGCCTGTACTGTATAGGGTTTCTAATATATTAGAACAAACATGGAGAAGAATTAGGCATACAACAGATGTTGTCTCCAGAATGCCTTTTTTCGGGCATACAAATGTCTGAATAGTGACAGAGATTGGGCAGGTGAAAAACTAGTAAATATTACCCTACTCTCTTCTTTGTCATAGTTATGATGTTATAGAAGAAAGTGCTTCCCGCAGTTGTTTTTGCCAAGAAATAATGCAGTTTTGTCTTAAAATATGCAATTAATAGAGCATTTATTTAAATGTTTTTTTTCTTTTGTTAGAAAGAACTGAATAGTCAAAATGGAGCCTGGGATAAAATATGTGCTGAGAGGGATCCTTTTATTCTCAGTAATTTGATGTGGTCTTGGATAGAGCAACTTAAAGAACCTCTTCTAACCAAAAATGATGTTGATGTGTTAGCAAAAAATAACACAGATTTTCAAGAAGCATTCAAATTACTAGAAAAGGTAAATAACATATGTATCTGTTCACATTTCTTGATCAACAAAAGATTCTTGCTGCTTTCATGAGAACAATGAAAGCAACTGCACCATTCCAACATATGTTGTTAACCTGGAAGTTCTTCTTCTTTTATTTATTTATTTATTTATTTATTTATTAGACTTATATACCGCTTCATAGGGCTTTCAGCCCTCTCTAAGCGGTTTACAGATTTTTAGCAAATTGAGTCAGCAACTTGCCCCCACAGTCTGGGTCCTCATTTCACCCACCTCGGAAGGATGGAAGGCTGAGTCGACCTTGAGCCGGTGAGATTTGAACCGCTGAACTGCAGATCACAGTCAGCTAAAGTGGCCTGCAGTACTGCACCCTAACCACTGCGCCACCACCTCCTCCTCCTTTTGCACGTGTGATGAGTGTTGTGACTTATGCAAAAAGTGGCAGGTTTGCATTGTGATGTTATGATGTTGCTTTTGTCAGCCCAGATGAAGCAGCTTTCATATTTTCCCTGCTTCTTTACAGTATGTGAAAAATGAGTGATTTATTCATGTATTTGTGTCTGTTTATCAGCCCTGTTTTCAGTGGCAGAAATGAGCTGCATTGAATAAAAGTACAATATATACTTGCTTTAGCTAACATTTAAAACCAATTGAAATATAGCAGCAATTGAATGCCCTGTTGCAGAATGAATGGAAAGTAATTTATTCTGCTGATTAAATTTTTAATAGATCTATAGTGAGGTCTTCTATTTTAGATAACTGGTATTTGTTTCTAAGTTGTATCTTTCTCATTATGTTAGTGACACCTCTGGCTAATTATATCTTTTTTTATCATATATTTCTTCAAAGGTAGTTTTGACATCTCTTTCGAGCATTTTTGTGCGGAAAAAATGAAAATAGATTTGTTCTTAATTTTGTATGAATGATGATCGAGCATTTATATTTATTTCTTTGACTTAATGTTTTCTCTGACCTTTATTTCCTGATAGAATTCCTTCTTCTCTTTTAGTAAAATATAATGATAGATTGAGAGATAGTTGGTCTAGTGGTTATGGCCCTGGAGTAGGAACGGGAAAATCTAAATTAAATCCTGATTTATGCACAGAAGCCAGCAATATGACTTTGGGCCTGTCCTCTGTCAACTCTAGGAAGAAGACATAGTATACCACTTACAAAACTTTATAGACTTTCCATGTGATTGCCAGGAGTCAAATCTGATTTGAAGGCAGAGGGTGGAGAAGGGACATGGAATCCATCTAGATGATCTTGGGCTAGTCACAATCTCTTTCTATGATGGATGGATGGATGGGTAGGACAGGACAGGACAGATATAGCTATATTGATATGAATGTAGGAAGTCCTCATGTAATGATTGCCTTGTATTCACAGTTACAATGGTGATTAAAAATTACAGTGGTAATTTTTATAATTGGTTTTTATAATTGGTTTTTATAATTGGTTATAAAAAAAATACCATTGTAATTTTTTATAACCAATTTGTAAAATTTTAAAATTTGTAAAAAAAATTTTTTTTTACAAATTTTTGAATAAAAACCCAACCAGTTTTTTACAACCAATTTTCACATTTCCGACCATCACAGCAAAATGATAATTGAAGTAAGATCATAGTCATAGTTTCACTTAGAGATTTAATGAACAAATTGCTGGTCCCAATTATTGTTGCTAAAGGTTTACCTGTATGAGACATATTCAGAGAACTCATTACTGCATATTCTATGTCTACTATACGTCATTTTGTTTGTACTGTTAGCTAAAATGTAGGAGGTATGGGCTGGAAGAACTGAATAATTCTTTCTAATTTATTAGGTGGCAATACTATTGGGGCGCTTTTAGAAGAAATGTTACTTTTTGCTTATTGCAAGATTTTTCTATGATCAGATATATTTTTAAATATTGAAGGATTGCCCACTTAACAGAGATTTTCAATAGTAGTGTTTTGGAGAAGGCTCATAGTAACAGTAACATATAAAAAGGGCGCCTCTTTGTATGCTCCCAAATGGTTGCTTTCTCTTCCTTCAGCAAAGGAGTTAAAAAGCATTTCTTTAAATGTTCATTTTAAGCTTCTAGTAATAGATTATCAGTGTCCTTTAATTATAATCTTACTGATTTTAAATCATAATATCTTGATGACATTTGTGGAAAGGAGTTATATACATTTTAACAAATTTAAGTAAATACATTTCCTGCTAGTGACAATTAAATATCAGGTATGCTTAAATGAACAGAATTACTTTCTCCAAACTTGCTAACTTTTTGTGAATGGAAGGGCTCTTGTGAATCAAGATCAGAAGGAAGAGGTGATATGATTCTTTCTCTTCAAACCTTCTTTCCTGGTCGACTCTCTTCCCTCACATTTTCAAATGGTAATTGGAGTCAGGAGTTCTCCCCTTACATTTTTCATCCAATGATAACTGTAAATCACAGCTTGCATCCAAAGGGTCATCTCCAAAGGACTTCCATCTTGCTTAACTTGGGTTGAATTGTATCCTATTTGTTTTCAGAGTTTCTCTCTAATAATACCTAACAGCCTGATTTATGCTTCCTCAGGGAAAATATCACACCATATTGTGTATCTTAAACTGTGTGGTGAATTTGCAGACAATACCAACAGATGTCGAAGAGCTGCTTCTTAATCGTGCCATTAAAGCATTCACCAAGGCAAGTAGCATATGATTGTGGCCTTTTGTTATAAATACATCAGCGGCTGCTGATCAGCCTACAGTGCTTTCCATAATCCTGATAATAAAGTATTCCAACAGATATTTCTTTCCAGGAACTTGAATTGTCTCCTTGTACTGAGACCAATTTATAAGTGGTTCCTTGTCTATTCAAGTCCATGGAATAATGAGAATGCAGCTTCCTATGGAGTTTACCTTACAGCTTATTAATTATAGCAATTTATGTAAAACTTTGAGTAACTGAGTTATTGAATCTTGGATCATTTTCAGTCTGAGGACAGGTTTATGAGAAGAGGAAAAAACTCTATGATTTGATCTTCCACATTGCGGGCCATTGCCTTAATATCTGAAACATTTGTAAACAGTGTACAAAGTATAGACAAACATTTATGGACACATTGCATTTGGGGTCTTGCATTTACCTCAACAAAACATATCAGTGGCTATAGTTCAACACAATCCTGTATAACCATTCTTTCTAATACACTGGATTGTCAATTTCATTTTTTCCTTATTTTTATTTATCCTCTGTTACAATATGTTGAATTTTGTTTGCAAAGTTATTTTTGCAACCAATTTCCATGCATTTTTGTAAATTTCTACATATTTTAAAATATTTCCTTCTACAATTTTTAGGCAGATTTGTATACACATGACAAGTGTCTTGCAAAATTTGGAAAGATGCAGATATTGAAAGATTAAATTCCAGTTTGGATATTAATTCGGAAATACAAGCAAAACATACTTTACCTCTATTTTGGACAGATGTACCTATAATCTCTCTCACATCTACAGTCATGATTTATTTAGAGAGAAGAGGTGGCCATCTGTTTTCTGTCAGTAAACCTGGGACTGGGCTAAAGCTTGAAGAGACAGATTGGTGTAGTGGTTAAGGTGCTGGCCTAGAAATAAGGAAACTGAGTTCTAGTCCCACCTTAGACATGAAAGTCATACGGATGACCTTGGGCCAGTCCATCTCTTAGCCTGATCCACCTCAAAGGGCTTTTGTTGAGGGAAAAATAGGAATAATGAGTATTAGGTATGTTCATTCCTTGGGGTATTTATAAAGTAATAAGCATAAGTATATAAGTATAATCTTTATTGTCATTGTACTTAAATACAATGAAATTGGTTTTAACCTCACTGGTGCAAAATTGTAACAGAAACGAAAAAAGAAAGAAAAAGGAAAAAAAACTAGTGTGTGCATGGAGTGATTGTGGTTGTATTTAAAAGTCTCACAGCCC